TGGGGTTGATAACAAACATTTCAAGCGGTAAAACCTCAAAAATTTATTAAAGTTGTGTATAAAATAACTTTTAGCAACAAAGTTAATATTAAAAAAAAGCTTGGGCTACCACACGCTAGGGGTGCCCGTGTGACCGTGCGTTTTTGCGTTAAACTTACAGCAGTCAGACCGTTAGCAATATCAGTAGTTCCTGCGTGACAGATTAGCACTTGGATACAAGTTGGCTGTGTTTTTTGGCGTTTTCGTGCTTATCTGGGGAGAAAAGAGTTGCTTAAGATGAGTGGTTTCGCATAATGGGGTCGGTTATCAATTTTGCATGAAGACTGGTCGTTCATCAAAAAATACAAATATGACAATGCACAGGTCAGAACAGAACGATTACGAGATCTGCAAGAAAAGTTCGCTTTTGAGGTTGCGAAAAAAAATTGAGTATTTCTAATATTCTTGTGCAAAGAATTTAGCCTTCAAGTTATATTTAGATCACATTTGAACAGAGAATACTCTTACAAAGTTATAGCCTCACAGGTCTGCCGGTAGGCAAAATAACCATTTTCGCCACAAATATTCTTGAAGTGCCTTAAGTCGTGGCGCAAGTACAAAACGAAACTCGTTTTAGGCAACGATTTCCCAGATGGGCGATGAATATTCTAACAATTTTCGTGACTACATGCGTGTCGTAGGCGTGTGCAGTAGCTGAATTTGAAATCTTTGGTTTACACATATACGGGGGACATTAGTGTGAAATTTTAGCTTGCTAGTTCCCGAAGTCGTTCTTCCGTCAGTGAAAATCACATATGTTTTTTAGGGGTCGCAGATTTTGCGTGTGGATCCCCGGAAAAAATTAGCGATTTTAAAACGGGATTGTGACACATGGGGTAGGAATATGATCCCAAAACCTACCGGACTTCATACATACCATACTTCATAAACTACCAGACTTCATGCAAAAAACAGGTACTGGAAAAGCGACCGAACTTCATGCAAAAAACCAGTAATCATGCATCTGGATGTCCGTGCGGCTCTATAATGCGCTATCTTCATCCCAACTGACGCCCTTCCTGCATGCCGGAAGGGGCCAAAGCACGGCTAATATGGACCCAAGTGTTAGCAGGGATCGTTCTTGCTAATAGCGATCTGCGAGTTTAGTGCAAAAACGCATGATCGCACCAGAGAGCCTGGTGCTTTCCAGCCCGGGTTTTTTTGCATGTTTTTGCATAAATGCTTAAAAATAAGTAGATAATGAAGCTACAAAACATAAAACTTGCAAACCTTTTCTCCGAGATTACCATAGTAGCCGAGAAAAAGCCGAACAAATTCAACTGATATTGTGATAAACTGCAGCGTAGAGAGTATTACTTTGTATGTGACAGACAGGTATGGCATCTACAAGCATTCTATTAGTCTGAACAAAAAAAACCTGTGTAGGAATAAAATGGTGCAGTTGAAAGTAGCATCAGATGATTAGCCACATGCAACAAGAAAAGTTTGTCAGTCGTTCTGATGGTGTCGCTGAAGTCCCGCTAAATGCCGGCAATTGTTGAAAAAGATATGCTGTAGCATCTGGATGATACTGAGTTTGTGTGGGAGTACTATAAATGTAGAACTACAGTACTGCACAGAGCACAAAGACCGGTGGAGTAGTAATCTAAAGCGTTGCCTCCAAATGTGAAGACGAGAGGTTCGATATCACCTGATTTAAAACCGTTATCAAAAAGGGATCTGCAAGAAATAGCGCATATGTGCACCACTACCGAAACGACTAACTGATTAAACCAAGCAACTGCTTTCTAAATAATAAATGAAGCAAAAGGGCAAAGAGGTTTATTAGCGTTTTAAAACTCTGAATAAAAATAAAGAATAAAGCTAACTTTTGCAAAAGAACAAACGATTAGTCCGATGGCCCAGAATGGAGCGAAACAGGCATTGTAGTGTAAAGCCATTTGCAAAGGCAAACTTGATAAAATTTCTGAAAATAAAAACTCGTCGTATCGGCAGATTAAAAAAAAAAAAAACTTTCGAAAACTTACATTGTTAAAAGTTTGAAAGTGATTCCTGAACTTACCAACTTCGGGTATTCGACTAAACGCTCTCACTGCTGCAACTCTTTCATCCATCGCGGTGAATTTTTCAGAATAACCTAAAAACTCCTGATAATTCCACAAATTTAACAAGTAAATGAACAAATACTATTGACCGTAATCCAGAAAAAATACTGCTAACTGCCGGTGCGGTCATGCGTTTTCGTATGGTTTAGTACAGCTATAGGATCGTTAACAGTAAAAAAGTTGTTGCTTCAGAGTTTGATTTGTGCAAACATTTTGGAAATGCTCTAGTTTGTGATTTTTTCTTCCGCTTTCAGTAGAGCTCAGTGGTGCATTGGTAGGCTTTCGTGAAAACACATCTTACTGGTTTATTTGAGTGCCGTGAGAGGAGGATGTCGGCAGTCTGCAGGTGGGAACCTCAACACGTTCGCACGCAAGATCATTCCTGTGGATCTTCACGTGAATATCAAGCATCCACATCAAAGCGTCTTATCCGAAAATACACATATACACGAACAAACACACACCAACAAACTCTAGCCAATGTAAGTTTCACATTCCAATAGTGATCAAAAACGCTTGGCAGGAAATTGGGTTAGAAGGCGCAAAGCTTGAATAAGATGGCGCAAAAAAAAGATGGTAGCGAAGCCTTCTGGTTTTATCCGCAATTGAGCGAGTCACGGGCGTCAGAAGTTAATACGAGCGAACAGCTTATAAAGCTGCCAATAGCTCCAGCCAGTAGTGCTTAAAAGCAAGCTATGGTTGTTTGACTTCGCTAATGTGCGAATTTAAGAAATTGAAATAAAGTCAAAAAAAAAAAATCAGCCGAGGGTGATATCTCATTCATGAAACAGCCAACCATACGGGAGTGCATTAATTTGGCTAAGAGCATTCCTCTTTTGAGTGCTCCACATTTTGCCGTTTTTGCTGATAGTGCAAAACTAGAGCTGAACTAGTCAGGTAAGCCGAGCTACAATTCGCCGAAAGAAATATGGCTGTGGTCAGTTGGTGTCCAGTTGCTTTTTTGTATACCTCAGCAGAGCCCTCTGCAAAACTTTGCTGCGAATGTATTTGTCAGTTCAATTTCGCAGCTGAATTAGCAAATTCTATGGAGTGGCCAGAAAGCGTTTCAATCAGGCAATAGACGTGGACGAGGAAGGGTCCTTTAGAAGCCGAAAGGATTTTACAAAAACGATATTTTTGCCATATGCGAAGCAGGACTACTAAAGTCCATGCGTTGTGTCCTGTTACCATGGTGAGGGGCAGCTACGATGCCCTTGGCCGAACCTTCAGAACGTCACATTTGGCTAAT